TATGTAAAGTATGAAGATAACCTGTAGTTTAGACCATCTAAAAGTTGATTAGCCAAAGAACTACTTTTCAAAAAGAAGTCCAGAAAAAGAAAACAGAAATTCTTAATGAGAGAGAGAGAGTGTGCCCACTGCAGGTGAGATAGCCCACGTGCAACAGGGAAGCTATAGAATATGACGTTCATTCCCAAGTGAAGAGCAGCAATAAACAGCCCAACATAGACTATTGTCAAAGAGAAACTGCACCAGGTAAGAGTTAAAGAGCTCAGGAAGGCTTTATTCAAGACTGTTGCAATATGAGAGAAACTGAACACAACTTTGCTGAAATAAAAGGCAAGGAGGACATTAGAAGGGTGGTTGGTCAATGTGATTAAACCATTTGTGTTTGCTGTCAGCTTCTCCTATCCAACACACTTTCTTGATGACTCTTTTTCAGGTGGATGGCTCACAGGTCCTTGTGAAACAGTCCTGGGTTGTAAAACTGGCAGGAGGCTAAAGAAGATTTACATCTCCGAAAGACAGAGAATGAATTTGCAGCTGCAAGATTATAAAGTAAATGATCTAAGAAAAGGGAGGTCAGGAATCTGCAGTCAAGAAGAAACCTGCCTAAAGTTCAGGCAAGTTGAGGGGAACATCTTGATCACTAACCCTTTTTATCAACTTAAGCAAGGTAGCCTGTCAGTTACTAGTGAAAACAGAGAAGACATGAATGTTAGCAAAGACACTAAATTTGATCTAGTCAAAGAAAAACAAATTCCATCATTGATCTCCAGGAAGTTAGTAGCAAAGAAGCCTTTGACACAAAATTACAGAGACAAGGAAAAGGGACTCTAAAGTCCCTTTGAAGATAAACATTTGAATTAAAAGAGGAAAATACTGAGATTGTTAGTAGCCAAAGTCTCAGAAAATTAACACATTTTTAAAGTCAAAGGACATTATCAAAACTAGAAATTTGAAGCTGACATTCTCTGAATCTCAAAGAAATAAAAGTATTTGTTTATTTGGTGGCAGAGGCAAGATATACTACTACCCATTTTGTTGCATTTAAGACCTGTTTACTTGTTTACTCATTCATCTGTTTTTTCAAATGCTCTAGTGGATTTTTTAAAAGGATCATATGTCCAGTAATCCACAGGGGATCATGAAGAGCATTTTGTTGGACAAAATTTATTTGCATTTTATGGACAAGTTTGCATTATTACAAATTTTCCAAAATAACAAGGCTGAAAGTAGCTCAAAGACAACAAAGAGTGGGTCCCCAAAGGGTGAGATAACTCTGAAAGGTATGATCTTTTTTCATCTTGATGAAAGATATTAAAAATCTCTCTTCTTTTCCCACTTTAGTCTTTCACAATTTTCCCTGACAGGGCTGCTTACTAAGTCATTTTTAGTAAAACCTATGTTGAAAGTGTTTAGAAAATAGAAATGAAATTGAAAAACCCTGTTGAGAAGGAGAATAATCCCAACTATTAATAAATTAATAGTTAACTATAAACAAGACAAACATAGCAATATTGTTACATAGTTCTAATTACTAATTGAAGTAGTAATTAGATTTTCTTAGTAATAGCAGAAAAAATCAGGTGTGCAAATAATATATTTTGTACCTTCCTTTATACTTTGAGCATATTTGCAAACAGCATCAAGCCTTTTCGCCTCTGACATCCTTTGGTATTGGGTGCTGAGCTGTCTGCTTTCTGTGTCGGTGACTTCTCTATGTATTCCATGCCCTCCTCCCTCCCTTACCTTCTTATCCTTACCTACCTTCATAATACTACATTTTCTTATAAGATGCTGTATTATCATAAATCCTGAAAGGTTGTCCTTACTGCTTGATTATCTATGCATTTTTGACAAATATTGTAATAAGCAAGTATTTGATTGGCAGTTGTCTCAAATTCAAATCAGAAAAAAAATTCTATAGAGCATGTTCCCTTGGAATGGGAGAAAAAGAGTTCTCCAAATCTGTGTAGGTGAGGTTTTTTAAATAGCTTTAATATTTACATTTTTAAAAGATATTCAGGGTTGTTGAAAGAATAATGATTGCTGTAGAGTACTTTTAAATACACTAGACACTTAATAAACACCTGTTTTTATTAACACTAACCTTGATATCTCTTTCGGTAATTTCACTCAGGATTCAATGCTTGATTATGGAATCAGGAAGAATATCTTAAATACTTCTCAGGGTTATTTAAATAGACAAACTAGTGACAGCATGTATTTCAGTTGAAGTAAGTGCAATGCTTAGAGTGCGACACTGGATAAATAAATCCGTCTAAAAATTCTTTCTTCTTTACTCTAATTGCCTCATTTTCTTTTATCTTAAAATTTTCCACTTTAAAAAGTCATTTAAAAAATTACAGTAATAATGCCTGCTTATTATAGCAACTTAAGCAATGAAGAAACAGTCAATAGTCTCTCCTTCATCAGTTAGGCATGCATGGAATGCAAATAACAGAAAACTGGGCTTATAGCTAATGAATAGAAGTTTATTTTTCTTATATAAACATAAGCTTTTATATACGCAGTGGCTGGCCTTGATTATATCTTGGCATTTCTTTTGGCCTGTTTCTCATGGTTACAATGTAATTGCTGAAGCTCCAAGTATCATCTTTGAGTGTATAGGGGAAGAAAAACAATTTTCCCTCTGCCTTTCTAAATTCCTAAGAATCCTATAATGAAAGACAGATAAACAAGATAAAAACTCATGTATACTGGTGGAGATACCTAGGGAAAAATGAGTAACCCCTCGAGGTGACCTAAGCCCCCTGCTTAAGTACCATCTTCAGCTAAAGACAAGAGAAAGAAAGGTGTGGGGAGGTTTCCAGGAGAAGCAGGTTAAGCGAGGCTACGGTGTGTTGTGCAGATTTCAGTCAGAGCTTCTCCTTTGAGGGTGGTGGTTTCCTGTGATTCAGTCATCCTGTTGGTACAGAATGTCTGTAAGTGGGATTCATTACAAATATATATCTGCGTCAAAAAGATACAGACATTATTACTTTTAAGAGGTACTGCTTAAAAATTGTAGCAAGTTATACCTCCACTGGTACTTTATTGACTTTCTCCCCACTTTGTTCAGCATTGGGTAGTAGTGATATACTAATGATTGGCAGTAGGATGGGGTACATCCAGATTAATTGTATATGTGTATAAATGATGGAACCAAAGATCATAGACTCAACTGACAAGGTCAAAGGGAAAAATCACTAAGAGCTGGGCAGTTTGTTTTGTTTTGTGTCATGTTTGAATACTGGCCCATTCTGTTTTCTAAATCACTGCATGTTAACCTCAGCTACCTGGTTTTATATTGAGTCTAAATCTAGTTATTTCTCCACATTCTTCTTTCCTAAATAAAGAACCATGATGTACCCATCTTCCTCTAAGAGCAGTGCCGTTTAGGACTCCACCTCCTTTTCCTTCGTCCACATCTTCTCCTTCTTGGGCGATCCTCTCTCCGTGATTCTGGGGTCTGAGAAAGGCTGCTTGCTTGGGTGTGCATTGCAGCCGTGACGCAGCTATGATGTTGCTGTTCTGCATGCAGAAAAAATTAACTCAATCCCTTTTTTTCAGGTAAACACATTCTCTGAACCTCGCTTGCAGGGTGCAGAATGCTTGTGTGTCTCCTGCCCTTCAGGGGTGTATTTAGATTAAAACAGCCTTATGTTGAGAGAGCTAGTGACGGAAGAAGTAGGCAGAAAGGGTGCTGCATCTCTGACCCCGGGGCCTGGCCCGACACGTATAGATTTTAAAATGTTTTACGTCAAGCTGCTGGTTCGTGCGCCAATGTTTGTACAAGGATTTCTTCATGGGCTGGCTACTCAAGGAGTGGTCCTTCCATTACTTTCAGTGATTCAAAGCAATTCAAGATTTGTCTTCTTTGCTTGTATTACGTCTCAAAGGTTAATTTCACTGCACAGGCATGCTCTAAGTGTGATTTTCTGACATAGACTTTTGTCTTGTGAAAGACTTATTTACATAAATGTCAGATGCACGTTATTGCAGGAAAAAACATTTAAGATCAAAGGCATTTCTGTGTCTGAATCCCTGTATTTCCTCTTCTGTTGCAATTTGGGGGAACTGCTTTGCGAGACCACAGAGGTATCGATCTGACGTCGCTCCAACTCCGTCTCCCTAAGCACCATCATCGCTTACTCAAGTCTGGTTAAAATACTGGAGGGTTTCATGAGAGGTACAATGAAGCAAAAATCATTTTTAAATTCTGGCTTATCCTCCATTATTACATTATTCAAGTTTAAAAATGTATTAGAAAATGGCTATGCTGTACATGCCAAAATATATATCTAAAAATTTTAAATGCCTAAGTTATTGATAACACTGTTTCTCTCACTCTATAAATGTATGATAAATAAATTTGAGTACCCTGTTTTTGTACAAGTTTACATAATAATTTATGAGTATTATTTATAACTTCTTATGATAAGGAATATGTTTCATGTTCATTAATACAGTATAAAAAATCGATATTCAATTTTGTTTCCAAAGTGATACATTAAAAGGAGTTTCAAGATTTACAGAATTTTAAAATTCCATTAAATTATAGTTACATTAAAATATTCAAGTCTAATGATCCTGATCCAAAGCAGAATTTTCTCTACAATATTGAATTAATGCTTACTTTTTGAGACTGTCTTTATATAGCAACTGATTCCAAGTTCAGGTAAAGCACTGGGAAGTTTTAGTCTTACTCTGTCAAAGTCAACCTCACTTTAATTTCCACACATTGGCCCTCATTCTACTCCCCAGAGCCACACAGGGTACATTTCATTCTCTTCCTCATGACAGTCCTTCAAATATTTGTGAATAATCCTTCCCATAAGACATTCTTGCTCCAGCCAAACATTTCACTTAATTAAACCTGTCCTCATATAGCAACCTGTCTGACCCTCTTATCATCATGGTTACCCATCTTGGCACACACACATTTTTTTCTAATGTTATAGCCAAAATTCATAAGCAATGTTCCTCATTTTCCTTATAGAATGTGGAAACAGGCAGAGTGTAGTGAATGATTCTAGGAGTGAACTACAAACATCCCTTCAAATGATGTCTGACCAAAGAGAATATTCTGGACCAACAACTCCCTTCGTCTGAACATTCTGCTTTATTCAGTGTAGCCCAAGGCTGTTATCAGCTCAGAAAATCATCAGTAGAATGTAAGTCCATCATGAGTTTTCAGTTATCTAGAAGCTGCTGATATTTAACTTCTGTGACTCGATAAAAATTATACAAGTCTAATTATCATATTCAAAATTTCAATTTATTTGCTTGATAGAAAAGCAAAGTATTTATATTAACAATAAATACCTATATCTAGGTCATTTTGTCTTTAAAGCTGGCAATCACCATAATCCCCACTTAAGTAATTTGTATTTTTAGCTTAATAGAGGATTTTTTCTGTCATTCATGCATGTATCCATTCCCTGATTCATTTGTTAGCTATTTAATGAGCCAGATAAGATACTCTGGTTGGTGCTGGGCATATAATTCTGAACAAAACAGATGTTGTCCCTTCCCTCATAGAACTTAACATCCTGGAGGCTGTGTGAGATGTCTGACGTCCCTGAAATAATGATTGATTGCCTTATTCACTGTGCAAGAAACAGAGATGCAGGATGACTAGTACTAATTCTAATACAGAGCCAGAGCTGAGTCACCACTTTACTAGACTAGTTCATATTTTTTCATGATAATTAACATTAACAAAAAAAAAGAAAGGATATTACTTTTGCAAGAAGGTACTGCATTTTAATGTTAACATTTTAATATTTTGTGTCTGTAAACTCCTTGAAAGAGGCACAAATCCTGTATTTTTTTAAATAAACATTTGTTTATTTAAACAAATATTTGTTCATTTACAAGATAGTCAATTAAATTTATTCAAATAAAGCAGAAGGCAGGAAGCTTTAGTTGTACCCTATAGCCTATAATCTCATAGCACTGAATTCATCATTTAAAATGAAATATGGTTTTCTCCTTTAAAACTCATTGGTGGTGGTATCAACAGGAATGAGGAATAAGAATCTCCAAAAATCATCTTCGTAAAAGCGCCAACCATACAGGCAAAAATATGAGTCAACTTTGTTCAGACCTCTGGAAATTAACCAAAGGCTTGCAGGAATCTGGGGAGTATTTATTTAAGAAAAACAGTAGAATCTCTATAAGACTGAGTTTTATGATGTTCTCACTCACTCTGTATCCCCTTCTCCCTGGGTACATGGTAGCTTTGAAAACCAACAGCCCACAGTGACAGTAAAAATCAGCAGGCTGACATGCACTGGAAGGGGCAGGGTGGGTTTGGAGCTCCTTCAAAGACCATGCTAGAGAACTGTCATTGTTTGTCCTGTCTGGCAGTTTCCCAGAAGTCTGCACTGCCAAGTCTTTTCTTTATTTGATCTAACTCAGAGGTCTACCCATGTGAACAGCCTTTTCCCCCAGGGGATTTTTTTGTCAAAAAACTACAGTAGCAATTGTTTAACATCAGAACTCCTTAAGGCCCTGGATAACAGTTGGAAAAAACAATGGGACAATCAAAAAGTTGAAAAGGAAAATCTTCAGGGTGAGATATGTTTATAGGAGTTTTGAAAAACTGACATATTTCTGGGAATTTTTAAAGTCACACACATGAATAGGGTCATACACTTGCCCTGGACTGTAGCATGTTTAGGAAAATCTTGGGAAGGCCAGATAGTCTCTCACTGGCTGCCTTTGGGTCATAAACAGGAAGTGAAGGTGAAGGCAGTTACCGGTGGCCAGAATGCATGTGAGAGGTGTGTCCCAACACACACAGAGGCCCCTGGCAGAGTGGGATGCTGGTTGGTTCCATACAGGTAAGGAAACCACTGTGTAATAATTAGTTGACCACTCAATTAACCAAGCAGATACTTCAGTGGCCCAAAGGACAATGAATACAGACTGCACAGAATCAGTTCAGAAAGTCACAAATAAAACAAATGGCAACCACAAAGGCAACATAAACCAGAAACAATGACCCCTGAGAACAAGGGAGGATCTTCCCAAGTTTGCAGTATTGTTTTAAATGTCCGATTTTCAACAAGATCAAAAAAATGTGACATTCAAAAATAGAAAAGTATGTCCATGTAAAGGAAAAAAACAGTCGATAGAAATGGCTCCTGAGGAAGTCTCCAGTCTCTGGATTTAGTAGAAAAATTTTATGATCTGTTGTATTAAATATATTCAAAGAACTAAAGGAAACAACTGTATCTAAAGAACTAAAAGAAATTATGAGACTGATATATCAAAAAATAGAGAATATCCGTAGATAAGATATAAAAAAAGAACCATATAGAAATTCTAGAGTTGCAAAATACAGGAACTAAAATTCAACCAACAAACCAAATCGCTAACAGGTCTCACAAGCATGTTCTAGCGGTTGAGAGAGTTTGTAAAATTGAAGGTAGGGCAGTTGAGATTATCCAGTCTGAGGAACAGAAAGAAGAAACAAATTGAACAGCGCCTCAGAGCCCAGTGAGGTGCCGCCAAATACACGGACAGAGGCATGACGGGAGTCCCCAAGTGTGAGGAGAGAAAGGGGCAAAAAGAGTATTTGAAAAAATATATAGTGACCAATAATCCAATTGATGAGTAACCTGAATCTACCAATCCAAGTAGGTTAGCTGAAAAAAAAATCCATATTTAAATACATCATAATCAAGCTGTCAAAGCCAAAGAGAGGCTTTTGAAAGCAGAGAGAAGTGACTAATTAATTATTAACTAGGGGTCCTCAATAAGATTAATAGTGAATCTGTCATAAGGCCAGAAAACAGTGGGTGGGATGACTTATAAAATTGCTGAAATGAAAAAAGACTTTCAGCCAAGAGTTTTGTATCCAGTAAAACCAACCTTCAAAAGTGAAGAAGAAATTAAAATACTGACAAATAAACAAAAAACTTAATGTTTGTGGCTAGCAGACCTGTTCTATAAGAACACTGAAGGATTAAATGAAAGGACAGTAAAGAATAGATTAAATCCATATGATGAAATAAGGGCTACCAGTAAACATAACTACATAGGTAAATATAAAATGCAATATAAACATATGCCTTACAATTATATATCTACATCAAAAGACAAACATTATTGCATTTAAAAGATACTTTAAAAGACTGTAGCAAGTTTTACCTCTACCCCCACTATTTCCCTACAGTTTGTCTAGCATTGGATAGTAGTGATACTTTAATAATTGGCAACCTGATGAGGTGCGTCAGAATGTCACATAGTTGGAATCATACAGTATGTAGCCTTTTCAGATTGGCTTTTTTCACTTAGTAATAGACATTTAGGGTTCCTCCATGTCTTTTCATGACTGGATTGCTCATTTCTTTTTAGCACTGAATAATATGCATTGTCTGGATATACCACAGTTTGTTTATCTGTCCACCTATTGAAGGAGATCTTGGTTGCTTTCCAAGTTTTAGTAATTATAAATAAAGCTGCTAGGAACATTAATGTGTGTATTTTTGTGTGGACATGTTTTCAGCTCATTTGGGTAAATATCAAAGAGTGTGACTGTTGGATCATGTGTTGAGTATATTTAGTCTTGTAAGAAAATGCCAAATTCTTCCAAAGTGGCCGTGTCCATTCTGCATTCCCACCAGCAAAGACCAAGAGTTCCTGTTGCTCCACATCCTCACAAGCTTTGGCGGTGTCCATTTTAAGTTGTAGCCATTCTAATAGGTGTGCTATGACATCTCTTTGTTTCAATTTCCATTTCCCTAATGACACGATGTGGTACATCCTTGCATATGCTTATTTACCATCTATATATCTTCTTTGCTAAGGTGTCTCTTCAGATCTTTAGCCCATTTTTCAGTTGGGTGGTTTTTTTAATGTTGAATTTCTTAATGTTTAGATATTTTGATAACAGTTCGCTGTCAGCTGTATTTTTTGCAAATATTTTCTCCCAGTCTGTGCTTGTGTTTTCTTTCTTTTAAGGAGTTGAGTATTTTAATTCTGCATTTTTTAACCCCACAAATAAGTCATCAGTGTTTTTATTCATTGTCATCACTGTTAAACATTGATTTAGATTTACCTATCTGTGTAACATTTTCTGTGCTCTTTATTCTTGCATGGTAGACCTTCCCTCTGGGATCGTCTTTCTTCTGGAAGGACATCCATCTGAGCTTCCTATAGTGGGTGTCTTTTGGTGACCCTCAATTTTGCATTTATCTGAGAATCAGTTTGGTAAGTAGATGCGCAATTCAAGGATAATCTTTTCTGAACTACTTTGAATGATGTGTTTATATATGATATTTTTATCATAACGCTGCTTTCAAACTAATTATGCTACTTTAGGTGATATTTTTGTTTTGTAATTTGGCTGCTCTGAAGCTCCTCTTTGGCTCTGATGTTATAGAGTTTCACTGTGATATGTCTACATGGGCTCTTATTTTTATCTACTAATTTGAAAAATTCTGGTACCATGTGCTTCTTGTCTCTGAGGATTCATGTTTATGATATTTTGCAAATTTTTCATTTTATTATAGATTCATATAGTATTTGATTCCATCAACTCTATTTTTCTATGAGACTCTAATTAGATAAACATTTGACTTTCTTGTTTTCCAGGTCTCTTAACTTGTATTTATGTATTATATCTCACTTTTTCTCTCTTTCTCTTTCATCTCTGTCACTCTCCTATAAATGTATAATCCAAATATTTTAGGTCTTTCTTCCAAGTCAATGATCTTTACTGTAGCTGCCACTAATCTGCACATCCATTGAATTCTCAATTTAAACTATTTTATTTTTCATTTCCAAACTTTTTTCTTCCTTTAAACTTCCTTGTCTTTGTTAGTCTTCTTTACATAGATAGGCCTTAAAAACATATAAATATATTTTGATATATATATCTTTGATATATATATATATCAAAGGTAATATGTGTATAAAATATGTATGTATATTATCTTTTAACAGTGGCACACATAGTTTGTTTTATATTCTGTATTGCTGCTTTTACTGACTCTTAGCATGTTTGACTTATTTCTTTGTATGGTTTCTATTTTTTTTGGTTTATTTATTTTCAGTTATAATTATATTCCTTATATTTATATACTGAATTTTTTTAAAAAGCAGAAATACCCATCAAAATATAACATGAAGCATAGCCAAATAAAATCTTTCTTGGAATGCTTGACTCAATATGAATAATCAGTTGACAAAGCTCTTTGCTAATTTCAGAGGGCCTTAAATTAGTTTACTTACCAACACATTAAGCATTCAGCATAGAACATGTGAAAAAAAATATGGTACTTTTGTTTAATGGTCACCTTTTAATTAAAGGTAATTCTTAAAGGAACACTCAAAAATAATATTTTCCTTTTACAAAGAGACAAACTTTTTTGTTGTATCAGTAATTATTGGTTGAATTTTGTCCAAATAATACAACCCTTATGCTAGAAAAGGTCTGAAGAAGCAGGAATGTTTACATTCTTTTTTGAGAACAGATACAACAATGGTTAGATTGCTTTGATATTTTATGGATGGCATTTGGCAAAACTATACAACATTTAAAATATGACTAACACTTGATCCAGAATTCCACTTCTAGGTATTTTTACTAATACATGTGTAGACATGTTCACTATAGCATTTTTCATCAATAAGGGGATGGTTATTCATACAGTTGATATATCCAAATAATAGAAGACTATATAATTATTGGAAAGTAAGCCTAATTTTATTTCGACAGTTATGGAAATATGTCCCTAACGTATTAAAATAGGAAAAACATGTTGCTAATAATTTTAATCTCATTTTTCATTACCAAACTATATGTGAAAGACATCCTTATCAGTTATGTACTGTTCCTACACATACATACATAGTTCTATTATAACATAAGTCTAGGTGATTTTCCATTCTAATTCCTCTCAATATAGTGCCAGGGAAGCCTTTATTTACACTTTAACCTCAGTCTAGGGTTGTTACCATAGAAATAGAGAGAGAAAGAATCATTGCTCAGCCTTGATTTTCAGAATTCACTTTTGAAGTCCATGGCACACAGAAGAGCTTTGAGAGAGGAGGCTTTGTGTTGTAAGAGCCATGATATATTGGGTGTGAAAAGGCAACATTTATATCATAAATAATAGATCGGGGAAAGAATGGATGAAAGCCAAGTGACTCTCTAAAGGGTAGGTAAACATACTGAAAGATGCCTGGTTTGAGGATTCCTTAGCATCTCGGTGGACTGGACCATGAAGGGAAACAGGTCGGGAGTAGGAGAACCCATCCAGGAGGCTAAACTCCAGAGTACTGACGGCAGTTACATGCAGGCGTTTGTATACCAGGAAAACCTTTGATGAGTGTTTGTATTCCTGTATACTTGGCAAGTTGCAATAAGCAAGCATTTCTTGTGCAATTTAAAAAATTATTTAAACATAAGACAGAAAGACATATTGAGTTTGGGAAGTGGCAGGATTAATCTACTAAAATCTCTAGGTGGTTTTTGTGATTTTTGAGTTTTTGTAAAGTTATTTTTAGAATAAATTTTGTTACTCTTACTTATTTTCCAGGAATTACCAAATAATTCAGTCACTGAAACAAAAGGACATAGATGTGAATCTTTTCTAATTAGCAACAAGCTTTGTAAGGAAAATTTACTTCATGTTCTTCAGTTACATTTGAGAGGTTAGAAAACAGAGAAGGAAAGAAAGGAATGACAAATTAATAAACAAAAAATGCACCCACAGGTCAGTCCCTGGAACCTACCAGAAGAGTGCAGGCTAGGAGTCTAAGAAATTGACCTAGCATGGAAAAGTAGGCCTCGAGTTTGAGGAAAGTGAGCTTCCCTGAAAGAGCTTGCAAATCAACGCAGTGGTGGTAGTTATTAGTATCTTATAAATTGTCCCAAGACAGTGAGAAATGTGGTACATTTTATTTAAAAGAGGTTGAAACAACTCAAAGTGTGTGGGTATCACTGAGTTTGCCTAAGCAGAGGCCAGCTGCAGCATGAGGCCAGTGTAGGTGTGTTTTTTTTCAAAAGAGTTGGTGGGGAACTGGTGGGTGGAGTTTAGCAGTATGCTCAGAGAATTCCTGTGTGGTATTCTAGGGAAAATATTCTCCTAAATGAGAAAGTACTATAACCTGGAGAACAATGTGCAGAAGAGCGATATTGCTGGCTTTGGAATTTACATTGTGACTATGGGCCAGGGTCTGTAGTTATTTTCTGCTTTAGCTTCTTTCTATTTAAAGTGCCAGAAATATTCATTGCCACCATTAACCTTATATGTGTATTAATAAGGTAAATGTAATGGCACTTTCAGAACCATGTAGAATTCCTTAATGAATTGTCTTAGATCATCATTATTAAAAAAAAGAAAAAATTCCATGTGTGTATCAGCCTCTTCCAAATGGTGAGGAACCTACGGATCTGCGTCAGTATGTAACAAAATGATTCTGGTAAAAGTTCCACTTTTTGAAACTTACTCCAGCTTTATCATATATGCAGTGGGAAATCCTAGTGGTAAATATTGGAATGCTTGAAGGTGATAACCTGTATAAATGTAAACTTTATTGTTATAAATTATTCAATTATTAATTTGATCTTGGGCAATAGGATAGAGTAATCCTAATTAACAATTAGTAAAATAATCATATTAAGTCTTTAATCCAAAAAGAAAAACAATATTTTGTCTTTCAGTTAATTCAATACTTGAAAAATAATTGTTTTTCTCCTCCTTTTAATGAATAAATAATTGCTCCAATAATAGGTAAATAGTTTCAATGGATTATCAGCTCCTCCTTTCGAGAAATCAACATCAAAAAGTGCAAAAGAATGAGACATTAATTAGCACACCACTCTGAAATTTTTAACTTGACATACCAGGTTAAAACTTCTTGTAAAAAGCAGAAATTATCTTTCGTGAACTCAATTTGATTTTTCATTTTGCATATATTTAATGTGGCACATTATTTTTCATTTAACTAACTTTTTTGCTCAGAATGCACATGTGATTGTAAAATAAGAGCACTACCTTGTGATAATGAGTTGAAGTTGTAAAGGAAGACAAAGGCAGACTGGAGAAATCTTTCAGAACTATGTATAATATTAAGTAACAGAATAGCCATCTAAGTACTTCAGGCTTCATTTCTCTGAAAAGACCTGCTGTGCTTTGATCGCTGTCACAGTTACCCAACAGGTTTCCTGGATCGCTAGAAAATCAAATGCGTTTGCGCAAATTCAGCACTATGTTTGAAAAATAACCATTAAGTGACTCCCTAGTCTATTTGTTTTGAATTTGCTATGCATGATTTAAACTGGAGGATAGTGCATGCTGTGCCATGTTGCAGGCTATTATTCTGGGTCCTAATATTTAGAGCATGAATCTAGGTGTCCTTCAGAGCCTCTGATTTACTCTCAATAATCCATTTTTAACACTTACCTCCTAAATACTCTGATATTATGTGCCATCTGATGGCTTTCCATTTTCATGAATTACTTTCCTGCTGTAGACAAACTTCAGTGGAGAAAGTCTATCCTTGGCATAATTCAAAAGTCTAGTTTTATTTGAGCAGATTTATTCCTGTTTATATTCCTTACATAATTCCCTGAGGTTTTGGGACTGTGTCCCACCTTTGAAGTCTCCCACCTAAAATGCCTATTGAGTATAACTGGCCCCCATAAATTAATTTTTATTATCCACCTTTCTTATTCATGCACGTGATCTCCTTGCTCCCAGTCTCTCCTACAGTTACGATAACTATAAGATGTATATCCTACAGTTATGATAACTATAAGATGTACAATTGGATTCCCCCTTATGAAACTAGTGAAAAAGAAGAATCAAAGGGAATATAGAGAATTTAAATATACAATAACCACAATAAAAGTTCAGTGGATGGGCTCAACAGAATGGAACAGAAGAAAATCACAAAATTACAAGATAGAACACAATGAATCATCCAATCTGAACAATATGGAGAAAAGAAACTGATCGATTCTTTTTCACAACCATTCTTATTTAGTTATAAGAGGAATACTTAATAGGGACAGAGTTTTTTAATTTTAGCAAGTAGAAGAAGTCCAAGTAAAAGCAGTCTGTTCTAAGTCTCAAGCATTTTGACACCACTACATAACATCTTTTCTTGCATAATCCATACTATTTCTCCTGTCATTTATGGTTTTGGTTTATTTGAAGTGTAAAGAGAATTTAACAATGCTTGTAGAACAATTTGAATGC